TTTACTGTATTGCACGTGGATGAGCTGAGGAGGTTTGACTCTCGGAGTTCAGTTTGAAGAAGGCTGGTTTTTGCTTCTTGTTTTTGTTGTCAAATTGTTAAAAAACTATTTTGATTTTATAAACTCGTGTTAATTTAATTTCCTTCTGCTTTTTCCAAGCCTATTTTGAAATCTGGGTTTTTTTATTTCTCTGTTTCAAAAAAAAAAAAAAGGATCTGGAAAATGTGGTCTGGAATCTATGGTTATATCTTTGGTATACATGACTTTGTACCCTTTTATATTGTAATGTAACTTGTTGACACTAAGGCTACACTCCGTTGGAGATTTATGTAATCTTCAGGCCTAAAATAATTTAATAAACGTGTGCAAAAAAAACGCAAAAACGGGTCTGGCAGCAAAAACGTAAAAACAGCTCTGGCAATGAAAGGGATAAAGTATAAGTCCTGACCCACCCTTTCCTGATGAGCAGCCCAATTGGTGCTCATCACACTGCAAGGTCTCTCTCCTCCTTGCTAGTCCCCGGCTGGAGACAAGCAGGGAGGGGAGGAGGAGATAAACAGCGCAATGTTAACAATATTACACGTTTAAGTCGCCTTAAAGCCTCTTTTGTTTTTAAAAGCCCCAGACATTACTAAAATCACCTCCGATTGAAATAGTTTTGGTTACATTTTTTTTTTTTTATCTGGTCAAATAGATTGTCATGAGGGACAAGTTGATTAAGGCTCCCGATTTAGTCCCTAGACAAGTAGTTTTTTCAAACATTTCCACACCCCTGTAAGTATACCATATTTATCTGTTATTGGTAATGGGTTTGCACTCTTGGTATTCTAGTCAAAAACTACAGAGGCAACTTATTTCATAATTGTCTCTTATTCTATTTTATTAATCAATGGTTTGTGGACACCTTTGCTGCAAATATAATCTGTCACCACTAGATGGTGGGCATGCTCATAGATGTGGAAAGTGAAATTATTCTGGTGATCACTGTTGGTGCTATTGTGGATGTTCCCATCGCTTCCTTTAGATTTTGCATTGGTGCTGGGCGGCTTTGTTTCAAGAAAAAGAGAGGAAGGCACCTCTAAGTGCAGTATTGACAATTTATTCAGTAAACAATGGAAAATTTGCACTTACAAGATAAATGGTTAAAAAGACCAGAGGTCTGAAGAAGGAACCTATTGAGCATGCTCCGAAATGCATTACCACCCCCTTCACCTGCTACATCTAACTCTGCTCTCCAAGCTTCATTTTTGATGCACAGGCACATCCTGGACTCTACTCCCTGATCCTATAGGCATAGTTTGCTGCTGGACGGCTGGATGTCCCACCTGGATCTAATTACCACACGATGAGTCTATTTAACCATTTATCTTGTAAGTGCAAATTTTCCATTGTTTACTGAATAAATTGTCAATACTGCACTTATAGGTGCCTTCCTCTCTTTTTCTTGTTACTGCATTAGAGCCTTGCTTCCATTCTAAGAAGAGCTGCCTCAGTGTTGCTGCCTCAGTGTTACTGCTCCCATCCATCCCTGATATCCATCTGGCACCTTTATCTTACAGCTACAGAGGTTGGGCTCCAACAAGCGCGCCCTATATAATATACATTTGCGGCTTTGTTTCACCCATGCACGCTGGAGACCTTTGCGCATGCGCAGTTGTACAGACATCTGCACCCGGCCAATGACGTCATACGTCGGCCGGTGCGGAGGATATAAAAGAGGGCAGGAAATAGGATATGGCCTCTTGGCTGCAGAGTTTGTTTGTATGCAATCTCAAGTTGTTTTGGATGATATTTAGGTAAGATGGAGGTTCAGTGTCAAAGGTCTTTTTTAAAACTATGGTGATTGTATGGCCACTTAGTTGACCTTTCATGAATGATGCGTTAAAGCGGAGCTCCACCCAAAAGGGTAAGTTCCGCTTTAAGGCTTTGTCCCCCGCTCCCCATTAAGGATTGGCACCCTTGGGGAGTGGGTACCCGAATTTGACAGGTACCCACTCCGACTTCGGCTGTGATCGCCTACGCTATCGATCGTTAGCGTAAGTTGTCCTCCTCCTTCTCCGTAGTCTTCTGGGACACGTGACAGGTCCCAGAAGACTACAGGGCCATTCGCAAAGCGCAGTACTTTTCGCGCATGCGCAGTGGGCACCCAGAAAGCTGTCACAGCCGGGTGCCAACACTAAAGAGAGAGAAGACGGCCGGTGAAACCAGCGGTGGTAAGGACACCGCTGGCCCGAGGGACAGGTGAGTGTCTGTATTTTAAAAGTCAGCAGCTACAGTTTTTGTAGCTGCTTTTATTTTTTTTTCAGGTGGAACTCCGCTTTAAGTATTTGTTTGGTATTTCAGCTGGTACCTTTGAATCAATAGCTATTACTGACATCTAGTGGCTGAATTTGAGATTGACAACTGGAAAAAAGAAAAAACCTTTTTCTCTACCTCCATCATTGTAAGTAACAGGCAGAGTTGTCACAAATATATATTGGTCTCCGTTCTTTCCCCTCTCTTTCCTTGGTTACAGTCTACTTATGCATATACATTATATTTAGATGGATACTCGACCTCTCCTATATCCTCTACAATTGCATGGATGTTTGGGCCAAATTGATACTTAACTGTTTATATTGATACGCTTCAATAGCTTTGGGAGCTTGACACCTTTGGTAAGCTGGGGATTCTTTCGTGGTTCTGAACAGTAAAAGCAAAGGTTCAATTGTACAAAAAATGATTATTTCTTGTAATTTATATATATATATATATATATATATATATATAGTAAACTGTACTGCGGTCCATTCACTTCTTCCCCTGAGGAAGCCCTGTTGGACTAAACATGTAGGGAAGTTACACTCCTCACAGCCGCAGCAATACAGCTATGTTTGTTCCATTGTCTAACCAGTATTGTACTCAATTGTATTTTTAATATTGATTAATAAAAGCCGCTAAAATCTTTTTAATAAATGTCATTTGTTTGTGTTTCTGCACCCTAAAAATCCCCCAATTTTGCTTGCTTATACTTTAAATTTACAGGGATGTGGTGCAATGTGTAGGCTTGGTAACCCACTTGCCATCCTCATTTTATTCTATTAGCTGAACTAGAAGGTCTTTTTTTCAAGCTGACTAATCATCTACAGTACTTACACCTGAAGGACCACTGAGAATGTACCCAGGTCTCCCAAATAGTACAGAGGCTGCCAGTCATGCTCTGTCCCATGCACATTGACAATTAAAGTGTTGCTAAACCCAGGACCCTGCATTCACTATATCTGGTCTCCCGCAGTACACACAACATGGAAATGCAATTATTGTAGTACATATAAACTACTAAATACCTTTTCTCATCAGCAGTATATAGCAGTTTGTGACTTCTATCAGTGTCCAGCTGAGCACTGGTTAAAGCTTGTAGGAGGAGTTTTCATTCTGCTCTGACTGTCCTATGAGGCTGCATAACCCCTGACCCTGTTTGGACAGTGCTGATTGGCCCTGTCCCAAAGCAAAAAAACCCTCTAGCAACACACAATAAACTGAGCATGTGCAGAGTGACTCCTAGAGCTCTGTACTATTAGCAGATGGAATGGGGACAGTAGAATAAGGGGAGGGTCAGAGAATACAGGATCAAACAGCCTTTTTACACAATGCAGAGGATTAACCCCTTAGGTTCCAAAGTGAGTATAACAAGCATGCTTTACTGCATATACAGACTGATTTTACTTTTGTGAATTTAATAACACTTTAAAGCTCAGTCTAGGGGATGCCTTTTTAGTATTTATTGCAGGAGAACTTTACCAGAAGGACAGGATTTAGGGTCACAGGATACTTCAAAAGCATCAGTAGCAACAGGAGGAAGACAAACTTTTTCTGACCTTCAACTTTCCCAGGGGTAGCAGGGAAAGGCCAGTACTCTGAGACCCTATGAGAGCCGTCTCAGTCCACAGCTAAATGGGATCACTGTTCAGGGTCAGCACAATTGCACACCTTCCAGCTTCCTCCAGACACTTCTCAGTGAGGGAGACAATCCCCTCTCCAGATAAGATACCATAGGGTGAAGTCCCACACCTAGGTCTTTACTGACAATGTCCCAAGCACTGTCTGCCATCCAGCATCCACAGGTAGATCCTCAGTGAGGAAGATAAAAGATCCTTTCTCCAGACCAGGACATCAGGAGAGTTCCCTCCAACAACTACACTATATTGCCAAAAGTATTGGGACGCCTGCCTTTACACGCACATGAACTTTAATGACATCCCAGTCTTAGTCCATAGGGTTCAATATTGATTTCCCCACCCTTTTCAGCTATAACAGCTTCAACTCTTCTGGAGTGTGTCTATGAGAATGTTTGACCATTCTTCCAGAAGCGCATTTGTGAGGTCAGACACTGATGTTGGATGAGAAGGCCTGGCTCGCAGTCTCCACTCTTAATTCATCCCAAAGGTCTTCTATTGGGTCAGGACTCTGTGCAGGCCAGTCAAGTTTCTCCACACAAACCTCACTCATCCATGTCTTTATGGACCTTGCTTTGTTCACTGGTGCGCAGTCATGTTGGAACAGGAAGGGGCCATCCCCAAACTGTTCCCACAAAGTTGAGAGCATGAAATTTCCAAAATGTCTTGGTATACTGACACCATAAGAGTTCCCTTCACTGGAACTAAAGGGCCAAGCCCAACCCCTGAAAGACAATCTCACAACATAATCCCACTTCCACCAAACTTCACACTTGGCACAATGCAGTCAGGCAAATACCGTTCTCCTAGCAGCTGCCCAACCCAGACAAATCCATCGGATTGCCAGACAGAGAAGCGTGATTCATTACTCCAGAGAACACGCCTCCACTGCTCTAGAGTCCAGTGGTGGAATGCTTTACACCACTGCATCCAACGCTTTGCATTTCACTTGGTGATGTAAGGCTTAGATGCAGCTGCTTGGCCATGGAAACCCATTCCATGAAGCTCTCTATGCACTGTTGTTGTTCTAATCTGAAGGCCACATGAAGTTTGGAGGTCTTTAGCTATTGACTTTGCATACAGTTGGCAACTTCTGTGTACTGTGCCCTTCAGCATGTGCTGACCCCGCTCTGTCATTTTACATGTCCTACCACTTTGTGGCTGAGTTGCTGTTGTTCCCAGTTGCTTCCACTTTGTTATAATATCACTAACAGTTGACCGTGGAATATTTAGTAGCAAGGAAATTTCATTGATGGACTTATTGCACAGGTTGCAACCTATCACGGTACCACGCTTGAATTCACTGAGCTCCTGAGAGCGACCAATTCTTTCACAAATGTTTGTAGAAGCAGTCTGCATACCTACAGTCAGGTCCATAAATATTGGGACATCGACACAATTCTAACATTTTTGGCTCTATACACCACCACAATGGATTTGAAATGAAACAAACAAGATGTGCTTTAACTGCAGACTGTCAGCTTTAATTTTAGGTTATTTACATCCAAATCAGGTGAACGGTGTAGGAATTACAACAGTTTGCATATGTGCCTCCCACTTGTTAAGGGACCAAAAGTAATGGGACAATTGGCTTCTCAGCTGTTCCATGGCCAGGTGTGTGTTATTCCCTCATTATCCCAATTACAATGAGCAGATAAAAGGTCCAGAGTTCATTTCAAGTGTGCTATTTGCATTTGGAATCTGTTGCTGTCAACTCTCAAGATGAGATCCAAAGAGCTGTCACTATCAGTGAAGCAGGCCATCACTAGGCTGAAAAAACAAAACAAACCCATCAGAGAGATAGCAAAAACATTAGGGGTGACCAAAACAACTGTTTGGAACATTCTTAAAAAGAAGGAACACACCGGTGAGCTCAGCAACACCAAAAGACCCGGAAGACCACGGAAAACAACTGTGGTGGATGACCGAAGAATTCTTTCCCTGGTGAAGAAAACACCCTTCACAACAGTTGGCCAGATCAAGGACACTCTCCAGGAGGTAGGTGTATGTGTGTCAAAGTCAACAATCAAGAGAAGACATCCTATGGACAGATGGGACCAAGATCAACTTGTACCAGAGTGATGGGAAGAGAAGAGTATGAAGAAGGAAAGGAACTGCTCATGATCCTAAGCCTACCACCTCATCAGTGAAGCATGGTGGTGGTAGTGTCATGGCATGGGCATGTATGGCTGCCAATGGAACTGGTTCTCTTGTATTTATTGATGATGTGACTGCTGACAAAAGCAACAAGATGAATTCTGAAGTGTTTCGGGCAATATTATCTGCTCATATTCAGCCAAATGCTTCAGAACTCATTGGACGCCGCTTCACAGTGCAGATGGACAATGACCCAAAGCATACTGCAAAAGCAACCAAAGAGTTTTTTAAGAGAAAGAAGTGGAATGTTATGCAATGGCCAAGTCAATCACCTGACCTGAATCCGATTGAGCATGCATTTCACTTGCTGAAGACAAAACTGAATGGAAAATGCCCCAAGAAAAAGCAGGAACTGAAGACAGTTGCAGTAGAGGCCTGGCAGAGCATCACCAGGGATGAAACCCAGCGTCTGGTGATGTCTATGTGTTCCAGACTTCAGGCTGTGATTGACTGCAAAGGATTTGCAACCAAGTATTAAAAAGTGAAAGTTTGATTTATGATTATTATTCTGTCCCATTACTTTTGGTCCCTTAACAAGTGGGAGACACATATGCAAACTGTTGTAATTCCTACACCGGTCACCTGATTTGGATGTAAATACCCTCAAATTAAAGCTGACAGTCTGCAGTTAAAGCACATCTTGTTCATTTCATTTCAAATCCATTGTGGTGGTGTATAGAGCCAAAAATGTTAGAATTGTGTCGATGTCCCAATATTTATGGACCTGACAGTATGTGCTTGATTTTATACACACCTGTGGCCATAGAGATGATTGGAAACCCTGAATCTAATGATTTGGAGTTTCAATACTTTTGGCAATATAGTGTATATGCATGTAACTGTGTGTAAGATCCATCTAGATTATCGTATTAAGTTGCACATATTTTGGAATAGTCCCTCACCTGCAGTGTCAATTTATTGGCTACGAAGAGCCACCCAAGAATGTGCATACAAATATGGGATTGAAGCCCATCATTTTATTAAATGACACTACTATGTGGATGATGGTTTTAAATCTTATCCTACAGAAGAAGCAATTAACCTTATGACCAGATCTCACAAAACCTTGTCTGTAGCCACCATCAGATATCACATGATCATCTCCAACGTCAACAAAGGAAATGAAGGGATTCCACAAGAATGACTGTGATACTAGTTTGAGGAATTTATCTTAGGGTCTGAATCACCTCCCATGCAGTTAGTTTTGGCTTCCTCTGGAAAATCAAAATACATTCACATTCCAAATTGACATCCAATGATTTGTGGGATTTGCAGCCCCAGCCACCATCCAAGAAATGCTCCTCTCTAGGCAGCTATCCTCAGAGGAGGTAGACTGAAACAATCCACTTCCAAGTGACAAACTATGAGAAAAAATAAATAATTTCTTAAGGCACCAGAAAAATTTTGGACCCCACAGTGTAACAAATCTATTTCCCGAGTTTCTGCTAAGATAATAGAAATTTATTTTCTCAGACATATCTGCAGTAGTTTTATCTTTGTGTTGTTGGGGTTGGTGACATACCTTCTGTGGGATTTATCCATATTAAGAAGTGCAATATCCAGTGACACCTATTGGGGAGTGCATGCCACAGCAACTTGTTATTCATGAATTTTGTATGTTCCCATGTTCCCCCTCTTGTGTCGTGCTAGTTAGTACATTCCTTGTTAAATACTCCCACCCTTTCTATTTCCTCAGTTTAGTTTTAGTTCATCACAGAGACAGGACTTAGGAAAGTTGTTTGCTTCTTACACTTCAAAGACTAGAAAATCATTCGTTGTACTGTACTTATCTGAAGAAAACTATGTTGGATTCAACTTCTGTGTCTTATTAATAGAGATGAGCGAATCGAAGTAGGCGAAGTGGAATTCGTTTCGAATATTAGGAAAATTTCGATTCGCGTCGAATCCGAAAATAAGCAGACTTCGGATGCGCGAATCGAAATTTTTCCTAAAATGGGGCGACATGTGCGGCGACGGAGCGGGGATGTCTGGGAAGGCGCGCAGACAAGGCGCGCTGACCCATAATGCATTCATTCATGACATGTGATCGCATTAGCCAATCAGCAGCCAGCCAGCCAGCACAGTGTAATGGTCGAGCTATAAATGGCGGCCATTTTAGAATTCTCCATTTGCCTCCAGTCATTCAACAGAGGCAGACCTGGCTGTATGCAGGGAGAGAGTTAGGGACAGAGAAACGTTACTTAGGGACACAGAAACGTTAGTTAGGGCCACAGAATCGTTACTTAGGGCCATAGAAACGTTACATAGAGCCACAGAAACGTTACTTAGGGCCACAGAATCGTTAGTTAGGGCCACAGAGAAACGTTACTTAGGGACACAGAATTGTTACTCAGGGACAGACAGAATTGTTACTGAGGGATACAGAATTGTTACTGAGGGCCACAGAATCGTTACTTAGGGGCCACAGAAACGTTACTTAGGGCCACAGAATTGTTACTTAGGGACAGACACAGAATTGTTACTGAGGGACACAGATTTGTTACTGAGGGCCACAGAATCGTTACTTAGGGCCACAGAATTGTTACTTAGGGACAGACACAGAATTGTTACTGAGGGACACAGATTTGTTACTGAGGGCCACAGAATCGTTACTTAGGGCCACAGAAACGTTACTTAGGGCCACAGAATTGTTACTTAGGGACAGACACAGAATTGTTACTGAAGGACACAGAATTGTTACTGAGGGCCACAGAATCGTTACTTAGGGCCACAGAATTGTTACTTAGGGACAGACACACAGAATTGTTAGTGAGGGACACAGATTTGTTACTGAGGGCCACAGAATCGTTACTTAGGGCCACAGAAAAGTTACTTAGGGCCACAGAATTGTTACTTAGGGACAGACACAGAATTCTTATTGAGGGACACAGAATTGTTACTAAGGCCACAGAAACGTTACTTAGGGCCACACAGAAACGTTACTTAGGGCCACAGAATCGTTACTTAGGGCCACAGAAACGTTACTTAGGGCCACAGAATTGTTACTTAGGGACAGACACAGAATTGTTACTGAGGGACACAGATTTGTTACTGAGGGCCACAGAATCGTTACTTAGGGCCACAGAAACGTTACTTAGGGCCACAGAATTGTTACTTAGGGACAGACACAGAATTGTTACTGAGGGACACAGAATTGTTACTGAGGGCCACAGAAACTGAGTTACACAGAGGGGGCCACAGAAATGTTACTTAGGGCCACAGAATCGTTACTTAGGGCCACAGAAACGTTACTTAGGGACACAGAAAACGTTACTTAGGGACACAGAATTGTTACTCAGGGACAGACACAGAATTGTTACTGTGGGATACAGAATTGTTACTGAGGGCCACAGAATCGTTACTTAGGGCCACAGAAACGTTACTTAGGACACAGAATTGTTACTTAGGGACAGACAGAATTGTTACTGAGGGGACACAGAATTTGTTACTGAGGGCCACAGAATCGTTACTTAGGGCCACACAGAATTGTTACTTAGGGACAGACACAGAATTGTTACTGAGGGACACAGATTTGTTACTGAGGGCCACAGAATCGTTACTTAGGGCCACAGAAACGTTACTTAGGGCCACAGAATTGTTACTTAGGGACAGACACATAATTGTTACTGAGGGACACAGAATTGTTACTGAGGGCCACAGAACCGTTACTTAGGGCCACAGAAACGTTACTTAGGGCCACAGAATTGTTACTTAGGGACAGACACAGAATTGTTACTGAGGGACACAGATTTGTTACTGAGGGCCACAGAATCGTTACTTAGGGCCACAGAATTGTACTTAGGGACAGAATTGTTACACACAGAATTGTTATTGAGGGACACAGAATTGTTACTGAGGGCCACAGAACCGTTACTTAGGGCCACAGAAACGTTACTTAGGGCCACAGAATTGTTACTTAGGGACAGACACAGAAGATTGTTACTGAGGGACACAGAATTGTTACTGAGGGCCACAGAAACGTTACTTAGGGCCACAGAAACGTTACTTAGGGCCACAGAATCGTTACTTAGGGCCACAGAAACGTTACTTAGGGACACAGAATTGTTACTCAGGGACAGACACAGAATTGTTACTGAGGGACACAGAATTGTTACTGAGGGCCACAGAATCGTTACTTAGGGCCACAGAAACGTTACTTAGGGCCACAGAAACGTACTTAGGGCCACAGAATTGTTACTTAGGGACAGACACAGAATTGTTATTGAGGGACACAGAATTGTTACTGAGGGCCACAGAACCATTACTTAGGGCCACAGAAACGTTACTTAGGGCACACAGAATTGTTACTTAGGGACAGACACAGAATTGTTACTGAGGGACACAGATTTGTTACTGAGGGGCCACAGAAACGTTACTTAGGGCCACAGAAACGTTACTTAGGGCCACAGAATCGTTACTTAGGGCCACAGAAACGTTACTTAGGGCCACAGAAACGTTACTTAGGGCCACAGAATTGTTACTTAGGGACAGACACAGAATTGTTACTGAGGGACACAGATTTGTTACTGAGGGCCACAGAAACGTTACTTAGGGCCACAGAATCGTTACTTAGGGCCACAGAAACGTTACTTAGGGCCACAGAAACGTTACTTAGGGCCACAGAATTGTTACTCAGGGACAGACACAGAATTGTTACTGAGGGATACAGAATTGTTACTGAGGGACACAGAACCGTTACTTAGGGCCACAGAAACCGTTACTTAGGGCACAGAATTGTTACTTAGGGACAGACACAGAATTGTTACTGAGGGACACAGAATTGTTACTGAGGGCCACAGAATTGTTACTTTAGGGCCACAGAAACGTTACTTAGGGCCACAGAAACTTTACTTAGGGCCACAGAAATTGTTACTAGGGACACAGAATTGTTACTCAGGGACAGACACAGAATTGTTACTGAGGGACACAGAAATTGTTACTGAGGGCCACAGAAACGTTACTTAGGGCCACAGAAACGTTACTTAGGGCCACAGAAACGTTACTTAGGGCCACAGAATTGTTACTTAGGGACAGACACAGAATTGTTACTGAGGGACACAGAATTGTTACTGAGGGCCACAGAACCGTTACTTAGGGCCACAGAAACGTTACTTAGGGACACAGAAAACGTTACTCAGGGACAGACACAGAATTGTTACTGAGGGACACAGAATTGTTACTGAGGGCACAGAATTGTTACTGAGGGCCACAGAACTGTTACTGAGGGCCACAGAACTGTTACTTAGGGCCACAGAAACGTTACTTAGGGCCACAGAAACGTTACTTAGGGCTACAGAAACGTTACTTAGGGCACAGAATCGTTACTTAGGGCCACAGAATCGTTACTTAGGGCCACAGAAACGTTACTTAGGGACACAGAAATTGTTACTTAGGGACACAGAATTGTTACTCAGGGACAGACACAGAATTGTTACTGAGGGACACAGAATTGTTACTGAGGGCCACAGAATTGTTACTCAGGGACACAGAATTGTTACTCAGGGACACAGAATTGTTACTGAGGGACACAGAATTGTTACTCAGGGACACAGAATTGTTACTCAGGGACACAGAATTGTTACTGAGGGACACAGAATTGTTACTCAGGGACACAGAATTGTTACTGAGGGACACAGAATTGTTACTGAGGGACACAGAATTGTTACTGAGGGACACAGAAATTGTTACTTAGGGGACACAGAAACGTTACTTAGGGACACAGAATTGTTACTCAGGGACACAGAATTGTTACACACAGAATTGTTACTCAGGGACACAGAATTGTTACTGAGGGACACAGAATTGTTACTCAGGGACACAGAATTGTTACTCAGGGACACAGAAATTGTTACTCAGGGACAGAATTGTTACAGACAGACACAGAATTGTTACT